GCAAGAAAATGGAATTCAAACATAATGTAATAGATTAAGCAAGAGAGATTTTGGACCCCATACAAAAAATTTACACTACAATTGAGAATGAGCTACTAGAATTTGTCTTTACTTTTGAGAAGTTTAGACCATATTTTATCGCATTGATGACCATAGTTTACAATGAGCATGCATTGATCAAGTACCTAATGAAGAAGCAAAATTGAAAGCCCTATCTCATTTTTCGGGTGTGTTACTCTAAAAATTTGGCATTTAGATTAAGAACCGCAAGAGCAAAGAAAATTACAGAGTCAATCATCTCAATATATTGCAAAAATTGAAGGAGCCAATAATAGGTATAAATAAAATTTTACCCAGTAAAGAATTGTTCATATACAAACACCAACAACCTTGGATTTTTTGACATAGCGAATTACGGCCACAACAATTTTCAATTAGAATCCAGCTTCAAAGAGCGAAAGCGTCTATTCAATCTTTCAAAGGATTATTTTTTAGAAGATTTCTCATTGTGCAATATTAGTTCACATGAAACCGTACAAAAATGTATTATAGAGTTAGAAATTCTCTAAAATGTAAAAGAGTGCTACGGTTCCTATATAAGCGGCCACTTCATTAGGCAAAATACCACAACAATGGTATGATAATTTGGATTATATTGGTCTAGCCTACATTAGGAATTCTTCGAGAAATCATGCCCTCGATGTCAAAGATTATGAACCATATCAAAGTGAGATGAGATGCCCTATCGCAAAATCTGATAATTGACATCTTTGATATATATGAAATAAATTTCATTGGACACTTCTAAAATTATTTTATAAAATCTACATTTTAGTTGTTGCAGACTATATAAGTAAGTGAATTGAAACCATCACTATATATACCAATGATGCTAAAACAATCATTAAGTTCCTCATGCACACAATAAGAAAGATCATTTTAGATGAAGATAGGCATTGAACTCATTTTGATATAGGAGAATCCACGCATATATAATTGAATCAAAATTTTTGTCTCAAACCTAGTTATTTCGTATCGAATTGTTGTGTCATGTTAATTTTTATCAACTCTACGTTGAGTTTAAAGTACATTTGTTGTGTCATTTTAATTTTTATAAACTCTACTTGAGTCTAAAGTGCATAATATAAAGTGATATTTTGATAGATTAATATAAAAGTAATACTCTCTATGTCTCACTTCTCATGTTCACATTTCCATTTCCGTCCGTTCCATTTATTTTGTCACTTTCTTTTTTGGATAAGAATTACACACTTTAATATTATTTTAAAAATTTTAATTTATAATTTTTTTTAATTTTAATTATACTAATCAGTTATCTTAATCTTAATCTATAATTATTTTTATTATACGATAATTATTTTCACTAATACATTTTTAACTATTTACTAATTATACTCCTCTTAAATTCTCATGTCTGCAGTAAAACGGACAACATATCCGAGACAGAGAGAGTAGTAAATTAGTAATTACATGAACATTACATGAATTATAAATAAAAAGAGTTTTTCTTAGTGATATAATTTTAAATGATAAATGAGAAAATACAAATAAAATGAAATAAATATATATAAGGTTTGTTTACCCGACCAATTTTTAGTAGACATAAGAACTCATTTATATTTTTAGTAAATTTATTCATTTTTAAATATATTTAACAAATATAAATTAATTTATTAAATTTCTATACCTCTCACTCAAAAAAAATTTATTTCTATTTTTTCTCATAAATAAATAAATATTTTTATCTATATTTAAAACTTCTCGTTTTTCATAAAAATGATTTAAGTTAATAATAAATAAATAAGTATATATATATTTTATTAGTATTATGTAAAATTTTATTATCTACAAAATAATATTTATATTATATACTCCCTCCGTCCCAGATATTTTGGGCTTATTACTGTAGATACGAGAAAATTTAGGTAAAATATAATTAGTAAGTAATTAATAAGTGTATTAGTAAAAAAATTGTTATTTAGTAAAAATAATTATGGATTAAGATTAAGATAAGTAAATAATTTGATTAAAATTAAGAAAATTATAAAATTTAAAATTTAAAATGTGATTAAAATGTATAATTATATTTAAAAAAATAGAAAATATAAACAAATTATGTGGGACGTATGAAGTATATTTTATTAAAATATAATACTAAAAATATTTATTCACATGTTCTAATTTTTTTAAATCATGGACTGTATTAATTCATATTTTTAAAATACTAACAATACTATTCATATAAAAATAATAAAATAATATCGTAACTTATTATTAATAATTTACTAATCTATATTACTTAACAATCATGCCCGGAACAAAGATGTCATTTATTCCGAGAAATAGAGAATATATATACTCCCTCCGTCTCATTGAAAGGTTACCATTTTTCATTTTCGTCAATTCCAAAACAAGGTTATCATTTCCTAATTTAGTAATTGTACTATCTACCTAACATAATAAATACCATTTCAACTTACAATATATTACACAAATATCATTACTTTTATATTACACCATACTAACAGGGGTATTGTCATTTTTACTACAATCCAATATAATACTAATATTAAAAAATTTACGTGCAAAAAGCAAACACTACTCTTCCAACGGAACGGAGGGAGTACTTTATTTATTCACAAAAGTCAATAATTCAATACAAAATTTTATTTTTTACATTAGCGACAATTCTTCATACATAATATAAAAAAACACATTTATTTAAAAAAAGACAAAATAAACATATTTTTAAATAAGTGGGTCCACATAATTATTATTTTTAAAAATAGGAAAAATCCAAACGAATCGAGATCATTCAATGCTAAATGTATATAGCGTATATATGATGTTTCCATACATTTTTTATTTTATGAACATTTAAATCTATTTGAAATATGATATTTATTATTATTATCAAAGCTAGAGAATTATGTAATAAAAAGGATTGCAAAACATATATATATATATATAGATATTTTTAAATTTGTATTTTATAGTCCTTCCATCTCGGATTAAGGTAAATATTTTTTTTTTTAATGCCAAATTTAAAAAATAATAATATTCTAGTTATAATGGATAGTTAAAAATGTTGTAAAAATAATTATATATATATATGTACATATAAAAGTACTCATAAGCTGTCATTAACATGTAGAGTACTTAAGAGTATGTTTATTTAGCAATTTTTTTTTTTTCAAAATTTACTATTTGGATTTTGTATTTTTCAGAAATTCTTTTTTTTTTTTTTTTTTTTTTTTTTTTTTCACAAAATAGCATATTCCCTCCGTCCCATATCTATATATTCATTTTTTTTTGCACGTAGTTTTAAAAATATTAGTATTATATTAAAATAAAGTAGAAATAAAGATAAAACAACTAAATTAATCATATTAGTATTGTATGATATAAATATAATGACATTTGTGTAATATCTTGTAAATTAGAATGATATTTATAATGTTAGGTATGTAGTACAATTAATAGATACTTTGTTTATTTTCATATCAAATTAAAACAAATTTTTTTCCAAATTTATCAAAAGAAACACACCCTAAAATTTTGTAGTATTAAACTTTGACAAAAAAAAAAAAAAAAAAGAAAAAAATATAAAAACCTCTCAATAGTAGATAGTATGTTTCTTTTTGTCCAAAATTCAAATTTTTATTATTTGTACTCTGCATTTTTTTAAAAAAAAATACATATTTTTTTTTCCTAGAAAACATCGTATCATACATTATTTTAATACCAAATTTAAATCAAAATTTTTTTAATACCATCTAAAGAACCATAAACACATAATCCATTCGAATTAACTTAAGTGGATAATTTATAGAAGATATTTTAAATTAAATTCATAAGAAGTTTAATGCAAGAGATGTGATGGTATGCTGGACTGTCACCCAGTCCCTGGACCTCCAGATCAATGGAATGAGAACCGTAGATATCTACGAGATGCGCGTCCATCCAACGGTGAAAAAGTAAAGAGACGGAACAGGACCTGAGATCACAGGAGCTTCTAGCAATTTTCCAAATGTGACAGGGTTTTATTGAGCCGTTAGATTTTTCTCGAGATTCCCTCCAACCAATAGTATTAAATGAGGGAAATGTACTACGTTTGACAACGACTAATTTTGCCTTTTTATTTTTATTTTAATTACGAAATCATTTAATAATTGCTCTGCCCCCAATAATTCCCCTATCTACCTTTCCCTTTTCACGATTTATTAAGTCCAATAATAAAATAAAAATGGGTTTAATTCTCAAGATATATAAATTTCTAAATATGTTCAGAGGAATATTTTATTTTATACGTGGCATCTTATTTATTTATTTTCTTTATCTCGTATCGCGATTAAATGAGGCAAAATCTCGGTGGCATTTTCGTAGTTTCCTCCAACTTTATGACCAAATATTTCTAGACCTCAAAATGCGTCGTCCTTTTTAAAGATGTCCGTATCCTTCTCATTTCACAAATATATAATATTTTATTTAATATATATATTTTTTCATTTTAATGATGGTGGGGTCCACTGGACCAAACCTAATTAAATCGAACGGCTGTGGGAAAAGTAAGAAAACACTTACTCCAACAAAAAAGAGTCCCGGGACCTGAACGCCAGAAAATCCAAAACGTTTACTATCCGTGGTCCCTTACAACGAAAGGCACCGATTGAATTGGCTCTCAGGTCCCGGGAGCGTGCAAGAAAAAGTAAAATTGCGTTAAACTGTATGGGAACAGAGATGGAGCCGAAGACCAGCTGTCAGCTGAAGATTCCGAGCCGATTACTCCGGACAAGAGCGTAGCCGGCTTAGTGGGTCCCACGTTGACTGTGCACATGATAAGCCGATTTGGCATAACGATAAGCACGCTTACTTATCAATTGTCCTAAGGATAAGTGAATTCACTTATCACCTCCCAAGTCGCCCCCCTCCTTATATAAACCCTTTCTTTATTTCTCTGCAAGTAGTGTCGTAGTTCAATTTTTTTTCCCCTTCCTCTAAAGATAGGGTTGAGCAAGAGAGAGAGAAAAAATTAGAAAGAGAAAGTAGAGAGAGAGGGAGAGAGAGTAAAAGTAGAGAGAGAAAACCCCATGTGTGGTGTGTGTATATATATATATATATAGCTGTCGCAATCTCTCACCTCCATAGGCACTGAAGAAGAAAGATATATTTTTAGAGAGAGAAAGGGAAGAGAGCGAGAAAAGAGAGAGAGAGAGAAATCAAGCCCCATTTTTTTCTTCCCTTGGAGCTCGTCGCCTTCTCTGCTTCTCCTCCACCGGTCGATCTCTCGTAAGTAAATCCCTTTTGTCTTGTTTCTATCTCCTTCGTTCTCTCTCTCTCTCTCTCTCTCTCTATATATGTGTATGTATATCTGTATTCAGACGTGGTGGAGGAATATTTACTTTTAAAAGCTGTTTATAATTTTTTTTTTTTTTTTAAATTTTTTTCTTGGGATGTATGGGTTTTCTTGAGCTCTACTTTTCTTCTTCTTCTTCGACTCAGTATTAATAATTATTGCATAAAATAATTAATCCACAAATAAAAAAAAATAATACTATATAGTATTATTGACTTTTACTACTTTGTTGTTGTTGTTGTAGTATTTCTGTGGTTCTCCTCTTTTTATTGCATCTCAGATTCCTTTTAAAGCCTCTTCCATTTTCGAATTCAATTCGATTTCTGAGGGTTTTTAGAACCCTAATTTTGTCGGCACGCCGCCTCCCTGCCTTTTTCATTTGGTTCAAACTTCTCTTCCATTCTATATGTATGTAATATGTATGATCTAGGTTTGTAATTTATTTATTTATTTATTTTTTGAAAATTAGCTTTAGATTGGAGCACTCCCATGCTGTATATCTGTATGCAATATAAAGAGGTTGTAGTTATTAAATAATTATTTATTTATATCATTAAAGCTTACGTTTCTTGAAGGTTGTGTAAAGCAATAATTAAATGGAGGCACAATTTGGTAATTAAATTTAAATAGTGGTCTAATTTCTTGGGGATCTTTTATTATTCATTTCTATTAAATGCCCTTTTGCTTTGTTGTGGCAATTTTTTTTTTTTTTTTGCAGATCTGATGCTGTATTTGTATTTGGCATAGAGAGAGAGAGAGAGAGAGAGAGAGAGGATTGGCGGTATTGTAGGAATAATGTCGTCACTGAGTAGAGAATTGGTGTTCTTGATCCTACAGTTTCTTGATGAAGAAAAGTTTAAAGAGACGGTTCACAAGTAGGTTCAACCTTGTCTTTTTTGATTTGATTTTATTTATTTATGAATTAATGTTAATTTTCTTAATAATAGTAATATGCTCTGTTTTGTTCTGTTTTTTATTCTCTCTGTAATAACCTTACATTACATTGCATACTCATACATAGGCTTGAGCAAGAATCTGGATTCTTCTTCAACATGAAGTATTTTGAAGACGAAGTGCATAATGGGAATTGGGAGGAGGTCGAAAGATACCTCTCCGGCTTCACCAAAGTCGACGACAATCGCTATTCGATGAAAATATTCTTCGAGATTAGGAAGCAAAAGTATCTCGAAGCATTGGATAAGTGAGACGAGTCGTTATTATTATTAGGCAAAATTGCCCTTAACATAATCGCTTAAATTTCCTGTATTTTGAAAATTCCATGCGCTACGAAACCGTTTTTTACATTTTCTGTGATGTGGAGATGATTTTACATCTACATTTTTTGCATAGCGGAAAAAGGGTGTCATACAATTTTTAAAATAAAAAGTTATGAATAATTTTGTTATTATTATTATTCATTTCCACACATTGCAATGTACATTTTGAAAAATGGTGTGTTTGAAAAGTCTGCACTATTCTATTTACAATTTTAGAATGCCTCGAAAACATTACACAAAATCCCTTTAAAACTTCACGAGAGTTATAATCAATTTTGCCTAACGATGGCTTAGTTTTTAATTACGACATTTTTGTGATGTAATGTAATGTAATGTAATGACAATGCAATGGGCAGGCACGATCGCTCCAAGGCCGTCGACATCCTCGTAAAGGATCTCAAAGTGTTTGCATCTTTTAATGAAGAGCTTTTCAAAGAGATTACTCAGCTGCTGACATTAGAGAATTTCAGGTACCTAAAAATGTCTTAGGAACTGTTTTCCTTTTGTTAATAAAATTTGCTCATTCGACGTCATCATTTTTCAGGGAAAACGAGCAGCTATCGAAATACGGCGACGCGAAATCCGCACGAGCCATTATGTTGGTCGAGCTTAAAAAGCTAATCGAAGCAAATCCCTTGTTCCGCGACAAGCTGCAGTTCCCCAATCTTAAAAATTCGCGACTCCGTACGCTCATCAATCAAAGGTACGTACATCGTACGAATGTACATTCTCGATTCGCGCATTTATTTGTTCGAATATACGAAAACTTGATGGCGCCGTCGCCGCGTATCTACACAGCTTAAATTGGCAGCATCAGCTTTGCAAGAATCCGAGGCCGAATCCCGACATTAAAACACTTTTCGTCGATCATTCGTGCGGACAACCGAACGGGGCACGTGCGCCGTCTCCGGCGAGCAATCCCCTGCTCGGAGGGGCAGTGCCGAAACCGGGAGGATTCCCGCCGTTGGGAGCACACGTGGTTCGTTTCGATCGATTACATCTATTGACTTTGATTGCGCTGATTTGTCGCACTTATGCTCTTTTCGATTATGTGGCCAGCCGTTTCAGCCGAATTCGACGCCAGTTCCGATGCCTCTTGCCGGTTGGATGTCTAACCCTCCCGCCGGAGCTCATCCTGCCGTTTCCGGTGGGCCAATAGGTCTCGGAGCTCCACCAATGCCGGGTATGGATTTTGTGATTTTCCGTCGATGTTCTTTTACGGTCGCCTAACATTTTGTTGAAATGATTGATTTTTCGCAGCTGGTCTTAAGCATCCGAGAACTCCGCCGACAAATTCTTCCGTGGATTTCCCATCTGCCGACTCCGAACATGCTAGTAAAAGAACTCGACCGTTGGGAATTTCCGAGGAGGTACTAACAATCTTCAAGTTTCGACTTGGATTTTTTTTTATCGATATACATATTTATATATATATATATATATGCTCGATGTGTAGGTAAGCCTTCCGGTGAATGTCCTACCCGTCGCGTTTCCGGGGCACGCCCATAATCAGCTATTAGCTACGCCGGAGGACTTGCCGAAAATGGTAGCTCGGACTTTAAACCAAGGATCGTCGCCTATGAGCATGGATTTTCACCCGATCAAACAAACTCTTCTTCTCGGTTAGTAACTTCTACCGTTTACGGTTGTTTTTTGCGTTCCCAAAAATTGAAAGCGTTGCCTTTTGTGTCATGGTTTTACAGTCGGTACCAATGTGGGAGATATCGGCTTGTGGGAAGTCGGCTCCCGGGAGAGACTGGTTCAGAAAAACTTCAAGGTGTGGGAACTCAGTGCGTGCACAATGCCCCTACAGGTGCCGATTACTTCGACATCTTTTCGACGCGAATTCACGTAGATTTTTAGATTGACTCGATATTGAATCAGGCGAGCTTGGTGAAGGATCCCGGTGTCTCGGTGAATCGCGTGATCTGGAGCCCCGACGGATCTTTGTTCGGTAAATGTGGCTTCATTTAAACACAATCGAATGCCGTTACCAATGAGAAAGATCGTTTGATTTGTGTCGCTCGTTTGTCTCTTGTTCTGATTAGGTGTTGCGTATTCGAGGCATCTCGTGCAAATCTATTCATATCATGGAAATGATGATGTTCGCCAACATTTGGAGGTGCGTTTCACTAATTCAAAGATTCGATTTTTTTCGTCGAGCATAGGTAGAAAATAAATTTTTATCACCCCAACTACAGATCGATGCTCATGTCGGCGGAGTAAACGACATTGCGTTCTCGCACCCGAATAAGCAGTTGTCTGTGATAACCTGCGGCGACGACAAGCTTATCAAGGTTTGTCCTAAAGATGCAAGTTTCGATAGCGTTTTATGTTTCTACGATGAAGTCGTAAGTATTTACCGTGATTTTTTAGGTTTGGGATGCAACAACGGGTACGAAGCAATATACTTTTGAAGGGCACGAGGCTCCCGTATATTCGGTTTGTCCTCACCACAAGGAGAATATTCAGGTACCCGAACTACCGACGTCGATAAACACTAAAATTGTAATATCTCGAGCTCATTCTCCACCGTTTTCCAGTTCATTTTTTCGACGGCGTTGGATGGAAAGATCAAGGCTTGGCTTTACGACAATTTGGGATCCCGAGTCGACTACGACGCCCCGGGTCGATGGTGCACGACAATGGCATACAGCGCAGATGGCACGAGGTAGAGCGACGATGACGACATTATTTGCATTTTTCGCTACATACGACTCTCCTAATTCAGACAACATTCTCCGCAGGCTTTTCTCTTGCGGGACGAGTAAAGACGGCGAGTCCCACATCGTCGAGTGGAACGAAAGTGAAGGAGCTGTTAAGCGAACCTACGTAGGGTTCCGAAAACGGTCATATGGGGTCGTACAGTTCGACACGACTAAAAATCGGTATTTAGCTGCTGGCGACGAATTCACGGTCAAGTTTTGGGAGATGGACAGTACGCAACTCTTGACGAGCACTGATGCCGACGGAGGTCTTCCTGTGAGTGTTTCGTAGACATTACGCGCGTATATAGTTCGAGACGATGGTTCTGATTTTGATTTTTTCGAAACATTAGGCGAGCCCTCGTATCCGTTTCAACAAAGATGGGACGCTCTTGGCTGTTTCAGCCAACGAAAACGGAATCAAAGTATTAGCTAACACCGACGGGCTTCGCTTGTTACGCACGTTCGAATCTCTCACCTTCGATGCTTCGAGAGCGTCGGAAGCTGCAAAGGTATTCATTTATCGCGTAATAGTTTTAAACTTGGATTCGATTTTGATCGTTACTGAACATGGCTGAAGTTTTATATGTTTGTCGTTGTTGGCAGCCTACCGTAAATTTGATACCGTCGTCGTCGGTTGTGAGTAGTGTGGCGCTTTCGGATAGGGTGGCTCCGACGATGGTTTGTTCCGATTAATTGAGTATGTTGGCTTTATTCCTTTTTTTTCGTTCGTGGGTCGAGTAATTTGTTCGATTTTGTAGAATGGGGATTCGAGAAATCTTGTCGATGTTAAGCCTAGAGTCGCGGAAGAAGCGAATGAGAAGTCGAAGATTTGGAAGCTTACTGAAATTAGCGAGCCATCGCAGTGTCGATCGATGAAGTTACCGGAAAATATGAGAGTCACAAAGGTGCCGTTTTTAGGGTTCGTTTAATGTTAAGGTATTTATCGGTGTAACGATGTTTTCTTTATGTTGATCGACAGATATCGAGATTGATATACACGAATTCGGGCAATGCTATACTGGCGTTGGCTTCGAACGCGATCCATTTGCTGTGGAAGTGGCAGCGTAACGAGCGCAATTCGAGCGGAAAGGTAAGTTCCGTAACAATATAAGTCTTTGTGTTTGGTATTAAATTCGAATGAGTACCGTGATGTTGAAAAAAAAAAAATGTCGAATCTGTAGGCGACTGCTGGCGTTTCGCCTCAGCTGTGGCAACCGTCGAGCGGGATTTGGATGACCAACGACACAACCGACGCCAACCCGGAGGAATCCGTCTCTTGCTTTGCTTTGTCGAAGAATGACTCGTATGTAATGTCTGCGTCGGGAGGGAAGATCGCATTGTTCAATATGATGACGTTCAAGGTAAACCCGGCTGAAAAAATTATGCCTTTGTGTTCGCTTGCGCGCGCACATTTTTCCTCGACGATAATGTTAGTTTCGTATAAATTGATCCGCAGACGATGACGACTTTCATGCCTCCGCCGCCGGCAGCCACATTTTTGGCCTTCCATCCTCAGGACAACAACATAATCGCGATCGGCATGGATGATTCTTCGATTCAGATATACAATGTCCGAGTCGACGAGGTATGGCTCACTACCCATCTTCAATTATCGTCGCCTAAAGATTCGACTAGGAATTGAAAAGTAAAATTTTTGAATTAGAATAGTTGTATGATGTGCTAAACAGCTGATGTGATGATGTGATGATTTGAATGTAAAATTGATTTTCAGTATATTATAAAAAATGAAAAATAAATATTTGATACGCTTTCCATTGTAGGTCAAAAGCAAGCTTAAAGGACACTCGAAAAGAATTACGGGCCTCGCGTTTTCGCACGTGTTGAACGTGCTTGTCTCGTCGGGAGCGGATGCTCAGGTACGCGCCGTGATGGAACTTAAACTTTTATTATCGATTGAATCCGATTCTGATTCGAATTTTTTTCCCTAGCTCTGTGTATGGGGTTCGGACGGATGGGAGAAACAAAAGTCGAGATTCTTACAGCTCCCTTCGGGGAGAATTCCGGCGACACAATCAGACACACGGGTGCAGTTCCATCAGGACCAAACCCACCTTCTCGTCGTGCACGAAACCCAGCTTGCGATCTACGATGCAACGAAGCTAGAAAGCGTAAAACAGGTAAGTCGTAAAACCGAGCACATTTTTTCGATCGATATCGATCCCGACGTAACTAATTATTTACGTCGATATCTCAGTGGGTTCCCCGCGAATCGGCTGCCCCGATATCCCACGCGACGTTATCGTGCGACAGCCAGCTGGTCTACGCGAGCTTTCTTGACTCGACTGTGTGCATATTCACAGCTTCACACCTTCGCCTGCGCTGCCGGATAAATCCGTCGGCGTACCTTCCGTCAAGTGTCAGGCAAGTTTTAGTATCGTATCTTTCTCGGCGTTAATTTTTGGTTTCGATACAAAATTCGACTAAACGTTATTTTATTTTTTTTTTGGCGGGCAGCAGCAACCCGACTGCGCATCCCCTGGTGATTGCGGCTCATCCACAGGAGTCGAACCAGTTTGCGATCGGGCTGTCGGATGGTTCGGTTCATGTGTTCGAACCCCTCGAATCGGAAGGGAAATGGGGGGTGGCGCCGCCGTCAGAGAATGGGTCTGCGAGCGGCGTCGGTGTCGGTGTCGGCGGCAGTGGCGCGGCGGCGACGCCTTTGGTAGGTTCGACGTCGGATCAGCAACAACGATGAGCTCTGCATTGCATGAAGTGTTGCTTTTGTGTAATGGATATATATATATATATATTATATTATGTTTAGATTTGATTTATTTTCTTCTGGTTTTCGACTAACTTACGACTTTTAAAGAAGAATATATATATATTTGTTAGGGTGTCTTTTATTACTATCTTTGTAGAAAATTATTACGTATTCCCCTGTACATTATTATTATTATATTAGGAGGTTATGGCAGCGGTTGCCAAGCTGTAATAGTTTATTTTTTGTTTTTATCTATCCCATTTATTATTAGTTTTTATATTTGAAAAAAATTAATACACTTCAAATATAATTTTAAGTTTTAATCTAAAACCTGGTTATATTTACTTTCACCCACCTATTATCCACCCAATGTATCTCATTATCCACCCACCTCTACGACGTCTCCCTCTACCCATTCTCTCTCTCTATTTCCAAAAATCCTAATCTTCCCGCGCCGTCGCCATCACTTCGTCCAGCGTTGTTGTCCGTCCCTCTGACTCCATGTGTTCTCACGCTGTCAGAACTGTAACTATTTTTATTTCAACGTCCCTAAATCGAGCAAAATCCGATCATCAACTTCTCAAACGGTTTTCGACGAAGCCGATTTGTTGTGTTTTTCGGGGAAGCAGCTAGGAAGGGATTTTGGATTGAATATCGACTTCGGTGGCCGGTTTTGTGACCAATGCTTGCAACTGCTCATCGTCGTCAATCTTTGCCGGAAAAGGATGCGGGGTTGATGGCAGTGCTGGATTTGCTATTGATGCTGCAGATATTTAGTCTGTGTTTGGATACGTTCCTGACTCAGAGGACGAGTATGATGTGGAGGAACGCACTTACCTTTTCCGATCACCCTGACGAACATGTCCCTTATGAGGATATTGGTGAGATCTAAACCAACTTTACTCATCACTCAATGTTGTGTGTTTAATTTTGAATATATTGCAATTCATGCCATGTTTAAATGTAATGGCTTGATTTTGCTTTACTTCGACTATGATGAATAAATGTTATTGTGCCTAACTTGCATATGTGGATGTTATATCCTAATTGCTTTATATGTCCTCTGTTGACAGTTAATGAACGATCGTCATAGTTTGTCATTATTAGATTGGATTGATGTTTATTTTCTTGCCTCCGATCTTATTAAATATACTCAACGCAATCACGTTTTTCAGTTGTATACTCAATTTCTTGAGTTAAAAAAACTGTAAAAACAAACATTTGAAACATTGCATTTCATTACAGATATTACTCCTATGCCGCTACATATGTAATATATTGTGCTGTCTAAAATAAAGTTTTCAGAATATTTACAAAACAAAAACTACAACAATCTGTTTTCATAGGTTTCAAAAACGAAAATACAACAATAGTTTTTCAAACATGTTTTTCTACCTTTATTACCATAGATCACTCATAATCCTTTCAAGTCCCTCCACCTCACCTTTTTCAATTAGGTATTGAATGCATTCATGCACTAATTCCATAGGGACAGTTAGGTGATTTGGAAGATTGTCTGCTCTCAACAAGCTGTCTTTTTTCATATGTAGGATTTTGTATGAGTTGTCCTCCTTTGCCCTAAACTTGAAAATACCTTATTTAAACATTGTGGTGTCGATTCTTTGAAGCTTGCATCGACTGCGTCCAGTAGTTCATTCACATTCTTGTATAATTTTTCTGTTTGTAAGCTCTAGATTGCTCGAAACCATCTTAAGTCATTCACATTCATTTCAGGAGAATTAGACGGTTGTTGAATAAGAAAAATGTTAAAACCATCGCTAGTTGCGGCATGAACAAAGTCTGCATCATTCCTTTTTATATGTTGCTTAGCATTGTCCTGATGTATGAATATACGTGTTGTTAGATTGGCCAGCCACTTTTCTTTTATTATTGAGATAACCTGCATGTAGATAAACGCACATTCATTGCATACTTAGGCTTAGGTGCACACATAGATTGAAAAGCAACAACTAATTAGAGAAAACCATTCATTTTCTATTCTAGATAAGAGAATAGAAGATATTAATACTATGTTTCTTACATTTTATAGCTTTTAACAAGGAAAATCGAGATAACTTGATTAATCAAATAATTTTTTAGTAACATCTTTTATTACAGATTGAATAAATTTAGTTTCTAATGTGCCGGTTATTCGATTTTTACTTGACCTTCTTGTTGGGACTCGTTCTATGAATGGAAAATTTTCCATTTTCCCATCAAATAATAAAGTCCCATCTTCATCCCATATAGGTCGGGATACTGCACACATGAACATAATCCTTACGGTGAACTTTTTGTTTTTGCAACCTCTATGTGGATCATTCTCCGTGGGGGTTAAGTAGAATCGATGTGTGGCCTTTATCATTTGAAACTATTTTTTATCAATTTGTATTGTAAAAGAGGTCTTTTCAATACACCTATAAACATCAAGAGCTTGTATTGAAAAACATAACTTTTCTAGTTCGTTAGTATCTGTGAGTCAGGCCGGATTGCACTTGCATGGGATATGATTTTCCTTAATAAACTTGTGTACCGTTGATTTTGAACATTGTAGCTCATTTGCTAGATTTCTTATGGAAGACCTTTGAATCAAGGATAACTTTCTATCGCATTCATATTTGATGATTCATATCTTTCTTTAATCACACGTTTCTTTCTAAATATGCTTACAACCTCACCATTTTTTATTTGCTCTTTTGCAGTTTTTCAATGCCTTTGAACTGTCTGTAATGATCAATTGAACAATTTCGCTATTTTTGAGAACCTTTCTTTGGCCGACTCTAATCCTTCTCCGTAGGTTCCAAGTAAGTGTTGCACCATGTTGTTTGATTGTACTTAGGAGGAGTTTTTTTTAGAATTGAGGACACTGTGATTCCTACAACTAAAAAGACTTAAGTTAAATTGTGTTTATGATTTGGATTATTTGACTTAAATATATTTGGCAAAAAGTGGGATTGACTTGTATTTATTGCTGATTTATATATATATTTCTTTTTTTTTATATATAATGAATCTAATAAAATTTTTGCTGAGCATTATTCTCATATATATATATATATAAGGAAATATAAGTCCCTCAATCCTTTATATATATATAGATATATTTTCTTTTTTAATATGTAATGAATCTAATGAAATTTTTGCTGAGCAGTATTCTCATATGTAGATCAATTTAGATTGAACCAAGTATCTAAATTTTTTTGAATTATATATGTATATATTGTGAAGTGGGAGTTGACATAATCATCAATGGAAAATTTCTCATTAGAAAATCGATGGAGTAGGCCACACATTCTGGAAGGTGCAGATCGAAAATTATCTTTACTTAATGAATTTGCACAAACTTTTGGAGAAATTTTTTTGAATATATGAAATAAGATGAATGAAAAATTTTGGATAGAAAAGTCATTATTGTAATCCGTTTGTCGGTTTCGTTTAATGAGGTGTTCCATACGACAAAAGTGAAATCGACCAAAGAAGCATTGAAGATAGATATGTATAAAAAGCCATCTACAACCAATAAAGTTCATCATATGCGGTTAAAATGTTGAAGTAGTACACCTCAATGAATTTAATTTATCACATTGCAATTGACATTTGTTAATATTAAATTTGACGACAAGGTAAAATTCCTAATTTTACTATCGAGTATTTTAGAAAGTTGAAAAGATATTGTAACAAGAATGCCTCGTTAGGTAAGAAATGTTAAAATCAATGTAGATCACTGAAAAATGATAAAATTTAAATAATAATAAAAAAAAACAATAATTTAGCTAATACAACGATAGAAAACACAATACTCATTGAGAGCGCAAACACTCCATTGGAATTATAAGTTTAGGACTTTATGACTTCGAGATGAGTACAACAAAATAGTACAATAGACTTTACAATTGGAATTATAAGTTTAGGACTTTATGACTTCGAGATGAGTACGACAAAATAGTACAATAGACTTTACAATTATTCCGCTAGTGTGTAAATACAACCCGGTGAGCAGTTGTATTTATGCATAAATTGCAATCGTAATTAAATATTAACAAAGAAAATTTTGCTACAGTGTACAAATACAAACTGAAGAGCAGTTGTATTTTAGTGCATGAATTGAATTGCAATCCTGAGTATCAACAAAGTGAATTTTTCATACAATATTTTTAAAACCACCAGTGGATAATATAAAATTTTAAAACTAAAAGAGGTTTTAGTCAGAATTTCATGTTATTATCTATGCATATTTTCAAACAACTTCGATAACGAAAATGAAATAGTTTAGTGCCACAAGTGCTTCCACTTCCATCCGCATAAATATATATATATATATATATATATACACGATATTATTATTTAGAAGGTGTACATAAAGTTCTTGTTCTTGTTCAGAAACAATATATACATATATATATATGTATACACAGAAAGAAACCGAAATTTAGAGGCATGCCATAACACATTTTATATATACATTTGTTCCCAGTAAGAAAGTAAGGAAGCTTATGCAGATAGATGGATAGATAGATAGAGATGGCGGGATTCAACATTATACTAAAATCCACGTCCCATCATATACTTACTTACAGAGGTGAACTCGGCGCCGTTATGCGATTCTGCCGTCATTATGTACAGGAGGAAAGAGGAAGAGTTCGTTCACCATCCGCAGCTTCATTCAGGTCTGAAGTTCACGAGACTGGGGAGATGCGTCGCCTGAAGCTTCCTTATGTCGCTCGCGGTCACTTTGCACGACTCCAGCATCAGCGACTTTAGATTCTTTAGGGACTTCAGATGCTGTAGCCCCACGCTCGTCACCCGAGAATTCGAGATGTTCAGAGACACCAGTCGGGTAAGCCCTGCATTTGCGTGCACACGTCACACTGGATCGAATCAAAGCTTGAACGGATGATTTATAGCAAAATGTTTTGTCGAGCATTACCTGAGATCGATTCCAGACTCCTGTCCGTCAGGTGGTGATTCTGTGACAGGTTCAGCAGGTTTAAGGATGTAAGCTCTTTGATGTTCTTTACTCCCGCGTCGGTCAATCCACCGCCACAGATTTCGAGAGACCGCAGGTTCTTGAAAGCTGAAGGAAAATAAATTCGTCGTCAAGAGAATAAAGGGTAAGGTTAGGTTAGGTTAGTCGACTTACATTTCAAGAAATTGGTTCCAAAGTCGGTAATCCGAGCACCAAAGAGATCCAGGTGTCTCAGCCCGGTCAAATCTACAGAAGATGAGATTTCATTTCACGGAACAAATACTCATCGTCGTGTATTTCATCTCAAAAATGAATTAAAGAAAACAAATGAAATTACTCGTAAGAGCAGCAAGGCCGGCATCGGTGATCTGGCGAGCATCCAAATTGAGGGACTTGAGAGACGATAAGCCGGACAGCTTTCGCAAGCCTCCATCGGTAACACTTGTGAAGGAGAGATTCAAAATCTCAAGACCGAGCAGCCCTGAAATTCCACAATGGAAAAATTAAATCAAAATCAGTGGCAGCATATAACATAATATATGATTGTGGCATCCCCGTAAATTTATAGGATTAAATCTAACCAGAAATATGGCGTAATCCATTGTCCCCGACTTCAGTATCGGAAAGCTCCAAGGATTTCAGGTTAGACAAACCTGGTTACGATACAAGACGGGGGAAAATAGGTAATTAAACTCGAGATAAACATATTGTTTTAACCGATATTAATTTAACCTGCAAGATGAACCATTCCGTCATCATTAATCCCACATGAGTCCAGGTTCAAGCTCTCCAGATTCTTAAGCCCTACGGAAAGAAAATTCTCCGATACATGAACACACATACAGACACAAGTCGATGCAATTACTTCAGACCTTAACAACTGGAGAGGTCTTTATTTAATTGTGCAGTGAATATAAAGCTTACCTTTGACATGCACTAAAATGGCACTCGTGATTTCGTTGAATCCCAAATTCAGAACTTTCAGGGAATGCAACTCTGTTAAAAGAGAAACAATTACGGATTAACTTCAACTGCACAGCAAAGATCGTGCGCGCACATACCCACACACACACACACATATATATATATATATATAAGTTGTCTGCTTTTGCATAGAAACAGATGTCGAGGTCTTACGAGCAAGTTTTTCACAACCATCATCAGTCAAACGACATCTGCTAAAATTCAAATACATCAATGCGGTAAGAGCTGCAACAAAGAGAGCCAATCAAAATAGAATAAGAAATTGGATATGCAAATGATACGTAGCAAATTAAACTTATGGAAAAAGCAGAGACTTGCTATGACAAGTTTGATGATAGATTGATAAACTTGTTTCGAGCCTCGAACTTTTTTCCCGTCAGATTCCAATGTCATTAGCTTAAAAAAACAGTAAAAAAGAAATGGACAATATATACCTGTAAGTGACTCCAGGCATGCAGCTGTCACGCGGCAGCCCTCCATATTTAAAAGTGTAAGATTTCTTAAACCTATGAGACGAAATTTAAGAAACAACAAATTTATTCAACAAGAAATGAATAACCAAGAAAGATTTACATATTCAAGAAATTGGTATACAAATGGATTACCTTTAAGAAATGCAATGCCGAGATCAGTGACCCCAGTGGAAGCAATCTGCAATGACGTCAAGCTTGTAAGCCCTGCGCAAGCGACAAACATTGTGTTTGATTTCAATAAAACATGTTATGTTAGACGCCAAATGAATCATTTGCATAAACCTTTACAACGTGAAAAAGACAAACTTAAAATGGCTACAATGGCTCCATCAGGAGATTGGGGTGGGTATTGGGTAAGCACGACCTACCGGAAAGTGCCTTCATATCAGTATCAGTGATGCAGTTGCAACAATTGAGATTGAGAGAATCGAGCTTTGAAAGTCCTGCAAGGAGGGATCAAGGCGGATTGGATAAAGAAAAACAGGTCCGATATGTCAGCAAAGAGCTAGTCCAATCGAACCTTTCAGGTGATATAGACCGCCATGGATATTCGGGCATCTTTCCAAGTCCAGTTTAACCAAATTGACTAATCCGGACAAGAAACCGAGCCCTCGTGCAGTGATCAAGCAATTTCTTCTAAAGCTTAGAGTGTCTAGTTTTGACAGACCTACAACATTCGAGAAGCAACGACCAGAATTCATTACGCTTCAATGAATATACTGAAACTTGAAACGAAAAGGCCTTGTAACTAACATCTTGTGAAGAATCATCATCGACAAACATAAAAGCCTAACACTAATTTAGCAAGATTGTGGATGAAAATTCGTTGCATTCTCAAGGGTAAATCCTCACCGCTTAATTGCTCCAGACCTTTATCCGAAATCTGATCACAGTAATTAAGATTCACCGTCTGAAGATTTTCGCAGTCTCTGAGATAAGCCAGCCCCAAGTCAGTAATATCTGAAGCCGAGAGATCTACAGACAGTAGAGATTGACCCTGTGAAGATACAATATCCATCCAGCTGTCATTTACTCCCGGGTATTCTCCCATGTTAAGATCCTGCAAGAAGCGACAATATCCATCTCAAAAGGAACTCACATCAGCCCATTCGACATCCATAGCTATTATCATTCAAAGTTCAAGCATACCTGCAGAGCACAATCGCGAAAAGCTTCTAGTACCGAATCAGTTAGGCATTGAGAACTGATCAAATCATCCAAAATCTGCTGGCTTATATCTCTTGGCAGCATGGAGAAGGAAACATATTTATCCACGTCCTTCAAAACAACACCATTCCTCATCAATTCAACAGTTCTAAACTCGTAAATCGACTAAGAAAGACAGCAAGCAATCAAGACAGCGATCATCATACGTACTTCACGAATTTTATGTATACACAAATCTATAAGAGAAGGGCAACTTTGGTTTCCTTGATTGGCGTCTGTAGATGATCTAGACATGGATGCCCCCAGCCATTTGGAGCTCCCACTTTTCATGTATCTCCCTGAAACTCTTCCACTCAGACCATCCTCATTGACGAGATGGTCACGCTTCCTCGAACAAGCTCCCCCCATTCGATTCCTTTTCTCTACTTTACGTGCATCGAATTATCAACAGTGGTTGGGATACAAATGCACACTGCAAATTATGGAAGTAGGATTGAATTAAGCCATTAGAAAGATGGATAGCAGAGTAATCTTCATTCCTTCAAATTAATCACACAGATTCCTTCCAGATATTCACAAATGGAATTAATACATAAAACAGAAACTATCAAACCTAACCCTCCTAAGCCGCAGAGCGTGTTTGAGCTTAAAATAGCAAAATTAATGATAATTCTCAAAAACCCTCGAATCACACAAAAATTTCGCTCCAGAAGCTTCAATTAACGGATTTAATAAACCACACCAAAATCAACAACAGGAAGACGAACTGAGCATCGAATTTTGCCCTACACAGACATAAAGGAACAATGAAAATTGAACAGCGAAACAAGAAAATTATCAAATTAATTAAAAACACAAATTATTAGCTCACAATTTTCCGTCATCGGCGCATAATCACAATCACAACAGCGTGCTTGTGTATCGTGCAGTGTGTATGAAAAGTAGAAGAGTTGCAGAATGAGAGAGAGAGGAAGAGGATAGAGAAGAAATAGAAGCGTACAAGAAATGGATAGTCGAAGCAAGCAGGCAGGCAGGCTCCGAGCCAACAGATGGGCGCCACGTTAGGGGGCAAAGGAGGCCCGATTGCTGGTTCGGGAGGAGAATAATGGCGCGGATGATGATGGCGATAAGGAAGAAGATTGTGGGCGCCACTGAGCCCTGTCCTGCTGATATTTTTTTATTGCAATAAGCACTCCACTGCGGAGACGAATTGGGGATTTGCTCTTTTGGGGCCACTTTCTTCCGGTGGCAGATTTCTTACGCTAATGTCCCTCCGATTTGTATAATACAATTGGAAGTGGGGATTCTTTCTTTCTTTCGTCGGTAGTCGCATTGACGATGATGATGATAATCGTGGATTTGGAAGCCATTGCAATCAATCTATTCTGTGCTTCAGTGTAAAACGTACAAGTTAGAAATCCTTTACATTAGTATTTATTTATATACAGTAACAAAACCCAATTACTCGAAAAATTGATATGACCTCAAATTTCGAAAAATTTCGGACAGTGGCTAAATCAATATCTATCTTTATATATGTTATTTTCTCAATTTTTATTATAACTAGGGGTGTATTTGTTTGGGGGGCGTGGATTTTGATTTGAAATTTGAATACGAAAAATTTTGAATTTGAATAAGTTATATGACGTGATATAAATAGGTGTTCACGTACTGTTTATGTAAAATTGATTTTTTAGTATAATATAAAAAATAAAAAATAAGTATTTAATTTGATGTTTTAAAAAAAAATGGAATGAAAAGTGGATTGAAAATCCAATTCCCAAACAAACGCACCCTAAAGTATTACTTTTATGAAATAATACAGTTAATTCGCAAATATTACATTTGTAAAGAACTCATTACATCTGATAAAAATCATAAAAAATAATTATTTATTATCCAAAATTTAAAATTTAGCAATGATTTATGTAGAGAAATAAAAAATAAAATTTATTTCAAAAATCACTACCCACTTACATAATTTTAATAATATTTTTTATACATTCAATTTCTAACATTTATGTTTTTAAAAAAAAATTTATACACAATTTTTATTTAACTAGTCCTTTAACAAAATTATTGAAAATGAAAAATATTGAGATAATGTATTAATTCGAGTTTATTTCAATCATTTAAATTTTTAAATATAAGTACTATCACTAATTTGGATAATTTTAATATATCATAATATAAAAAATTATTTAATATTTTACAATTTATATAAATTAATATTTTTCAAATTAAAATATAATAAATATTTATTTATATCCCCTTGTTTCTTTAACTGTTGCGAAAAAACGGGTTAGCCCCACACAATCGGCGAAATATCGTACTCAATTAATACCGAAGAAAATTCCCAGGTAATTGGAGGAGACACGAGGCTCACTTAAAACCCAATTTTCTTAGATTTATAGTCTTTTTGATAGAATTTCCCCAGCAAAATTAAAGCACAATAAATAACTGCAAAATAACCAAACACACCAGAACAAAATAAAGAACACCAGATTTAACGAGGTTCGGCAAAATTTTGTCTACGTCCTCGGACCCCAACCAAAATTATATTATGAGAGAAGATAAAAAATACAACACAATTAGAATATAAAAAGATTGTGCTGTGGGATAATAAAACCAAAAGGAGAGCGGGTGAATTCACCCCCAACGCATTTGCGCAAACGATGTGAGATTTGGAGATGAGCCAACATTGTTGACTTTTCTACAAATCTCCACCTTTGGCGATCTCTAAATCCCATCCAAAGATCTTCTTCAAAACTCTCACGACATAAAATATGGCAGAGCCTCCAAATGCGTTTTTCATCGTCAATCTTCAAACTCTTAGAACATTTATCAAATTCAAACAATGTTCAAACTTGATACACGTTACACCTTTTGTCAACATATCTGCAGTAATCCTTGTAACCAGATTGCCTCCTTAACAGCCTCAGTGATGGCCATGTATTCTGCCTCTGTTGTTGACAGAGCAACGGTAGACTGTAAAGTCGACTTCCAACTAACTGGTGCGTTTGGAAGAGTAAACACATAACCCGTAGTTGATCGTCGTTTATCCAAATATTCTGCATAGACTAAATCACAGTACCTAACTATATGTTGGCCAGTATCATTATTTCTTTGAAACATCAATCCAAAATCTAAGGTTTTCAAGACATACCTTAGAATCCATTTCACGGTTTGCCAATGTTCTCTGCCTGGATCATGCATATATCTGCTCACGATCCCAACTGCATGTGAAATGTCAAGCCTTGTACACACCATCGCATACATCAAGCTACCAACCGCATTTGAATAAGGAACCTTTGACATGTAATCACGTTCCTCTTTCGTTTTTAGACACTGTGAAACACTAAGTTTGAAATGAGAGGCAAGTGGTGTACTCACAGGTTTGGTTTTGTCAGTCATGCCAAATCGCTCTACTACTTTCTTCAAATATTGTTTCTGGGTCAAGCACAATGTGCCTCTCTTTCTGTCTCTCGTTATTTCCATGCCGAGAATCTTCTTTGCTTCACCGAGATCTTTCATTTCGAACTCCTTGCTGAGTTGAAACTTCAATCTGCTTATCTCTCTTCTATCTTTCGAAACAATTAACATGTCATCTACATAAAGAAGAAGATAAATAAATGATCCATCAGGTAGTTTACAAAAATACACACAGTGATCGAAACTGCTCCTGGTGTACTTTTGGCTGGTCATGAATTGATCAAATCGTCTATACCACTGTCTTGGAGATTGTTTCAATCCATACAACAATTTGTTCAACTTGCATACCCAATCTTCTTTCCCAACAACATTAAATCCTTCGGGCTGAGTCATGTAGATTTCCTCCTCCAAATCACCGTGTAAGAACGCCGTCTTTACATCCATTTGAACTAGTTCTAAATCGTACTGCGCTACCAAGGCCAACAAAATACGAATAGAGGAATGTTTTACAACAGGAGAAAATACTTCATTGTAATTAATTCTTTCCTTTTGAGCATAGCCTTTGAGTATAGACCCACTTGCAACCAATTGCCTTCTTTTCCTTCGGTAGCTCAGCTAGCTTCCATGTGTGATTTGCTTCAAGGGAATGCATTTCCTCGTCCATGACTTTCTTCCACTTCTCTTTCTCAGAAAAATGTACTGCATCAAGAAAAGTTTGTGGTATACCTTCTTCAATAACATGAAGTTCATAGGCCACCATACTTTGGAATCGAGCAGGTTTCTGAATTTATCTTCTTGGCCTCCTAACTGCAATTGGTAAATCTTGTTGCTGTTGAGGTTCTTGGGTTAAAACCTCTCTTTCTCTGAGCTCTTTATTGGTACAAAAAACATCATCGTCAGTTGGTTGATCATCTTCAAGTTTAGTCATAGATGTCTGGAACTCCACCTCATTGGAAGAACATTCCACCTGTTGGGGGGTATTCTCTATCTACTGCTTCGTTACTTTCTTCAACATTTCTGATTCGTTGAAAGTAACATCCCTGCTAAAGATCATCTTTTTCATCTCCGGGCACCATAAGCGATATCCTTTTACTCCAGATGATATCCCTATGAAGATAGTTTTTCTTGTCTTTGGATCTAGCTTTGATTCTCTTACGTGATAATATGCAATAGATCCAAACACACGTAAAGAATCATAATCATTAGCAGGTTTGCCAAACCATACCCCAAAGGTGTCTTGCCTTTAAGCGCATCTGATGGTAGTCGATTGATCAGATGGCTTGCATATGTGACTGCTTCAGCGCAGAATTGTTTGCCCAAATTAGCATTGGACATCATACACCGAACTTTCTACAGCAAAGTCCGATTTATGCGCTCGGCCACTCCATTTTGTTGTGGCGTATCCCGAACTGTGAAATGTCAGGAGATTCCTTCCCTTTTGTAAATATCGAAAAAAGGGTCATTTCGATATTCTGTACCATTATCAGAGCGAAGCACTTTACTCTTCCTCCCGGTTTGATTCTCCATCGTATTCTTCCAATCGAGGAATTTGCTGAAAGCTTCGTCTTTAGTTCGCATAGGTTATACCCATATTCTCCTGAAAAAATCATCACCAAATGTTATAAAATAATGATTTCCTCCCAGAGAAGCTGTCTTGGTTGGTCCCCACACGTCTGAGTGAATGTAATCCATAATGCCTTTAGTGTTATGGATTAATGTTCCAAACTTCACTCGTATTTTCTTTCCCATAAAGTGCTCGCAAAAATCAAGTTTGCATGTCTTTGCACCCTTTAATAATCCTTGTTTTGCTAGAGTCTGCAAGGATTTTTCCCCAGCATGCCCAAGCCTCATGTGCCAAAGCTTGGTCATTTCCTCTTCTTTATCTGGTGCTGATATTGTTGCTGCTACGCCACGTACTGTGCTGCCCTAAAAGTGATACAAATTATTTTTCCTTATACCTTTCATGATGACAAGTGCTCCCGAGATCACTTTTAGAATCCCATTCTGAATGCTAATAGAATGACCTTTAGACTCCAAGACTCCCACTGATATGAGATTTTTGGCAAATTTCGGTATGTACCGAACCTTTGTCAGCACTTTAACTGTTCCATCGTGGTTCTTCAGATAGACTGAACCAACTCCAGTTATCTAGCAAGGTTGGTTGTCAGCTAGGTAGAAAACTCCGCCATCAACGTTTTCAAACTTGACAAACCACTCCTTTATGGAGCACATGTGGAATGAGCATCCTGAGTCTCGCAGCCAGTCGTCACTGCATGTCACCGATGAGGCACATGCTAATGAATAATCTGATTCATTATTATCAACAACACATGCTTCGGCTACTGTTTTCCCTTTTTTCTTTTATAGCTTGAGACAGTCTTTCTTCCAGTGTCCTTTCTCGTGGCAAAAGGCACATTTATCTTTTGCTACTCTGCCTCTTGACTGGGATCTGCTTCTTCTCGCCAGTTTGTATTTTTTGTTACGACCCCGAACAAAGTGAGTTTCACCAGTCGAACTCCTGTGTTCTAACTTATCTTTCTTCCTG